AATATTTAAATAATTTATTAAATAAATTTATATAATTTAATGTTAATAAACAAATATAATAATTCTAATAATATATACAATATATAATCTTACATTTTATATATATTATTAGTATAATAACATGGGACTAACTGAAAAGTTTGTCAGTTGCTTTAAACTCAATCTGTACGTTAACTTGCAATTAACTATGACAGCTGTTCTGTATCTGTAATATTTATTTCAAATAGAAGTTTCTTTTCAATTTTGGGATCTGAGATTGTTTGACTTTTCAGCAAGCATCTCTGGCACTTCTACAGCAATCACAGGCACAAAAAAAAGAGCATCTGCGTGGCAAAGCCAAATAGTCAGACATCCCTGGTTGAGGTCCAAACAGACCAGTGTGGGTCTAACAGGCAACAATGCCGTGCCGTCATGGACCAATGCATCACTGAACACATTCAAACACACAGAGGTCAATTTCAAAGCCTCAGTGATTATAAACAAATCTAATCTCCTCACCTCTGATGCCTTCAGCTCAAAATATACAAGGGAATAGAGGCCAAATTCAATCAAAGAGCTATGTAATCATCATACAGACATACGAGCAATCATAGACCAAAGCGGAAACCGCCAGAAAAATAAACGAACGATTTTTAGGGTTTGCAAAACAAGGTTACGGTTGTTTTGTAGAGTGGTCAAAATTTATAACATAATGACAAATCTCAGTTGACTTTTAATTTGATCACCGACTATGTGCTTAAACACTACGACTTGAGTCTAAAGTGGTGTACAGCACATGAAAAACATGTGGGGAGCCTTTGAGGAATATGGCTGCTCCAGATGCCATGTAACATTAGGTTCTTGTTTTTTAACATTCATTTTATTACATCTAAAAAGATGTTTGTTGTTTATTACCATTCTTTAGTATTCTGAATGAGGACAATTCATACTCTTAAGTTCACTAGAGTAGCAACCAGTCAGCTCACAACAACATATCTTATAAAAGGTTGAAATATTATTTATTTTCTTTAAGTAATGATTCCTCATAAGGGTCAGTTATAACATTTAACTTATTTTCTCTATGTAACACAGTGGAACCAGTATTCTGTCAAATGTTTGCTGGCTGGGAGAAAATGAATAAAAAGTAAATAAGGTTCCCACTCAAAGGGAACAATAATCAGCAGAACTGCATAACAACAATATATTTTTACCCCACAGTGCAGTGCAAAAATTGATGTGGTCTATACCATAAACTGTTAATGAAGCTGAGAGCAAACAGATGACAAACAGAAAACAAAAACTTCCCTGTATGTCTCGGCAGAGCTTCACCAGTACAGAGGTACACAAGACCTGTCCAGAAAACAACCGCTCTTAGCTCGAGAACCAGGGTGCTATTGAAATGAATGAGTAACGGATAAAGCCATTTCTTTAAGGCACTGCTAAACAACCTATGACCACTATAACAATGTTATAAATGTGATATTTTAGTAACAATATTTAGCAACATTATGAACAACACATTAAATCTGCATTAATAATAAATGCACTCAAAATATGCTTGTACAAACATGATGTTCAATAAAGTACCTCAAGAAAAGTTACAGTTAAAAGCTGAAAAAATAAAATAAAATAAAAATCTTAAAGTGCAATATTATTGCCACGGAACTATAATAAAACTCATGCTGCAGGCGATTCTATGGAAAAGATGTAGTCCACAGATTTTTATATCTGCCTTAACATTATCTGTTTATATCTACAGCTCATTTCCAGAACTTTCATTGCAAATATGAGTGGAGATCAAGCCCAGCTGGAGGCAGTGCTGCTCTCAAATGGCAGTAACTAGAACCATAAGGACAAACTAAAGTCTGTTCCCTTTCAGAGTATGCGATCTCAGCGTGTGAATGCTGATCTGAGGTCATATCTATATGGCATCTCCAAATAAGAACGCTAATCTAGAATCAGTTATCCTTAACTGTATGAGACTTTATAAACTTGACCTTGGTTTACCACGGTTCTCACTGTACCATGTAAACAAAAACAATTCAGAATTGAAACTCCAACTCCTTTTCTTTTTTTAATGATATGTCTTAGTTTGTAGCTGGTATGCCTTGTGGTAAACAGCCTTCAACCAACATGAGAACTCAATCACAACACCAACCACTGTTAATGATGTTTTCCAAATGAAAATGCAGCTGATTTGTCATTCCCTGTCTGATCATTTTAGTTTGAGTGTGTTTTCACTTATGTCGAGTGTATTCCCTTGATGAGTTACTGTTCACCAGCCGTTTTCCCTGCAGGAAGGCAAACTATTCCCGGTCTCAATAAACCGCCTTGTGCACTTCCAAAAGGATGAATTCAGACTAACCACTAACCATCCTCACCACACACACATACTAGTACAGTTTTAAGTATGTCTAGCTTCGGGCCAGCATATTACCTTTTCTAACATTATCTAAAATAAGCATGGAGACTGTGGTTTGAGAAGGTTAGACCGTCCAACTAAGCAAAAGACATTCAGACTCGAGGCACAATACATATGCTCAATCTAAAGTGGTGTACAGCACATGAAAAACATGTGGGGAGCCTTTGAGGAATATGGCTGCTCCAGATGCCATGTAACATGCACCCACACACTTCCTGTCATGATCGGAGAACTTTCCTTGTACATTTTATACAGTAACATGTATTTCAATGTGTGGCCTCAGAAAAGATGTCTAATATCAGTACGACAGACAATGCTCTACATTCATCCCAACAAAATCTGCTCATTTCAGATCAAATTATTTTTCATCATTATTTTTACTCATTTAATTTTGTCCTAAACTTGGAATTATAATTTTGGTCAAAATAAATATTAAACAATAAACAGAAAATCTTTGCCCAACCAAAAGTTGTGCAAGATAAGTAGCATCATAAAAATGGCTGTTTATGCGAGATTTGGTGGTTTTATCTATTTTCTTCTGTTTAGGCCAAAACAAATATCAAACACAGATTTCAAACAAATCTGTGAACGCCCTTCTAAATATCCTACTAATAGTCTACTAAATATGGAAAGGAGATATGGATATGCCAAACGATATGAAACAAAGATCAAGCTCACAATTCAATGAAATATTATTGATTTGTCCCAGTAAAATCCACAGATTTCCTGTCCTTCTTGTGTAACACATTACGACTGATGCTGTGACCAGAAACATCATTTATTTGCTCTTATTCAGCATTTCTGCATCAGTCCAACCCAATCCCCGACTGCCCGTTTCTTTTAGTACCTGATGTAATCGTTCCTGCAGAGGATCATTCCTCCTTTGCTGAAGCAGGTGCTGCCGATTTCTCCTAGCTGAGCCTGGCAGCAGGAGCACTTGAGGCAACGCGTGTGCCAGTACCGATCCATGGAGAAGAGCAGGAAGCGATCTGAGATCCGACCTCCACAGCCTGCACAGGAGCGCACTGCCCCGCCGCTACCTCCTGTTACCGCAACGGCGGTGCTTTCCACACGGCTGTTCACCATCGCCTGCCTGCGGGATAGAGCGGAGAAACTCGCAAATCAGCAGATCTGGCCTGTGTTATCCAAAGGCATAGTTCTACCACTATCAGAAGATCAGCCATTAGAGATGTTCCTCCAAACCTCTTCAAACAAATCACCATAATACATTATCATCCTGAAGACACGTCATAGCAGAATAATGGGACAGATATATTGCTCGCCCTGTTGCTGATTGCATTTTCAGTGTCCCCATCCAGAGACAAGAGATAAAAGGAGGATAAAACTGACTGACTGGGATTACAATAACAATTCATATAAAAGAAAGAAAGAAGGGGAAAAAGGGAAAAACATAGTGTTTATAACAGTAAACAAGACCAGGAAAATGACTGTAAGGTCGTATTCTATTGTAAATTTTCCCAGAATGCACTGCCAGTTGAATACATAATGTGGTTGCATAAAGTGTGTGTTTTTTGTGTTTTTTGTAACTATTTGCTATTTTATTTCTCTGTGGCTCTGGTCACCCATTAGGTTCTTGTTTTTTAACATTCATTTTATTACATCTAAAAAGATGTTTGTTGTTTATTACCATTCTTTAGTATTCTGAATGAGGACAATTCATACTCTTAAGTTCACTAGAGTAGCAACCAGTCAGCTCACAACAACATATCTTATAAAAGGTTGAAATATTATTTATTTTCTTTAAGTAATGATTCCTCATAAGGGTCAGTTATAACATTTAACTTATTTTCTCTATGTAACACAGTGGAACCAGTATTCTGTCAAATGTTTGCTGGCTGGGAGAAAATGAATAAAAAGTAAATAAGGTTCCCACTCAAAAGGAACAATAATCAGCAGAACTGCATAACAACAATATATTTTTAACCCCACAGTGCAGTGCAAAAATTGATGTGGTCTATACCATAAACTGTTAATGAAGCTGAGAGCAAACAGATGACAAACAGAAAACAAAAACTTCCCTGTATGTCTCGGCAGAGCTTCACCAGTACAGAGGTACACAAGACCTGTCCAGAAAACAACCTCTCTTAGCTCGAGAACCAGGGTGCTATTGAAATGAATGAGTAACGGATAAAGCCATTTCTTTAAGGCACTGCTAAACAACCTATGACCACCATAACAATGTTATAAATGTGATATTTTATTAACAATATTTAGCAACATTATGAACAACACATTAAATCTGCATTAATAATAAATGCACTCAAAATATGCTTGTACAAACATGATGTTCAATAAAGTACCTCAAGAAAAGTTACAGTTAAAAGCTGAAAAAATAAAATAAAATAAAAATCTTAAAGTGCAATATTATTGCCACGGAACTATAATAAAACTCATGCTGCAGGCGATTCTATGGAAAAGATGTAGTCCACAGATTTTTATATCTGCCTTAACATTATCTGTTTATATCTACAGCTCATTTCCAGAACTTTCATTGCAAATATGAGTGGAGATCAAGCCCAGCTGGAGGCAGTGCTGCTCTCAAATGGCAGTAACTAGAACCATAAGGACAAACTAAAGTCTGTTCCCTTTCAGAGTATGCGATCTCAGCGTGTGAATGCTGATCTGAGGTCATATCTATATGGCATCTCCAAATAAGAACGCTAATCTAGAATCAGTTATCCTTAACTGTATGAGACTTTATAAACTTGACCTTGGTTTACCACGGTTCTCACTGTACCATGTAAACAAAAACAATTCAGAATTGAAACTCCAACTCCTTTTCTTTTTTTAATGATATGTCTTAGTTTGTAGCTGGTATGCCTTGTGGTAAACAGCCTTCAACCAACATGAGAACTCAATCACAACACCAACCACTGTTAATGATGTTTTCCAAATGAAAATGCAGCTGATTTGTCATTCCCTGTCTGATCATTTTAGTTTGAGTGTGTTTTCACTTATGTCGAGTGTATTCCCTTGATGAGTTACTGTTCACCAGCCGTTTTCCCTGCAGGAAGGCAAACTATTCCCGCTCTCAATAAACCGCCTTGTGCACTTCCAAAAGGATGAATTCAGACTAACCACTAACCATCCTCACCACACACACATACTAGTACAGTTTTAAGTATGTCTAGCTTCGGGCCAGCATATTACCTTTTCTAACATTATCTAAAATAAGCATGGAGACTGTGGTTTGAGAAGGTTAGACCGTCCAACTAAGCAAAAGACAATCAGACTCGAGGCACAATACATATGCTCAAACACATTTGGAAATGCTTGCACATTTTATTTCTAAAAATAACTTTGTATCTCTGCATTGTTTTCTGAACAGACACAAAGCGAGATTCATTCGGAAAACCTCAGCAAAATCCTGTGAGGACCAGACGGTGCAGTTTTCTCTTTTTGGATGGCAGCAGCAATGTGAGGAAGAGGCTTTGGACATCTGGCTGAGGCTATATCACTTGTTATTTCCTCCCTCTGTTGTTCTGAAGGAGAGGTCAGTCAGCAGCAGACTGGAGATGGAGGCCAGGTTAGAGGTCATAACTGAGCCCTGTTGATTGGTAGGGTCGATCAGGGGTCAATAAAGGAGAGGAAAGCAACAGGAAAGCTCTTTGTGCTTTGCTCTAAAGGATTGGGAATGCTTTCCTCAGGTCCTATCTGTCTTCCTAGCCTTGTGCCGGACATAAGATATCGGCCACCATGCACTTTCCCACAAACAGATGCATGAACATCAGGTCCAATACTGTAGGTTCCTAAAGGGACAGTTACCCTTCATCATTTACTCACCCTCATGTTGTTTTTCCAAAAGATTTTTGAAAAATTTATCATGGTTTTTTTATTAGTTTGTTTTGTCCGTACTCTTAAAATATCTTCTTTTGTGTTACACTGAAGAAAGTAAAGGCTGAATTACACCACACAACTTTTGTCCAGATTCTTGCCCCGATTTATAGTCTAGACAAATTGATGCTGGTTGCAGAAAGTCAAAGCCAGTCTGCAGAATTTGGGCAGTCTGAGTTCACAGATTTCACAGAAAATGTCATAGTGCATGATGGGCAAAGAATCTGATTTTTAGCTTCAGACTATGATTCTATCCATTCTTAGGATATCAAAAATTTTTGATATTTTGAGCCGTTTTTTTGTTTTCATTTGTTGTGTGTCTCCTAGCAATGAGCTGTTCTGCATAAGTTTATTTTGTTCGAAAAAAACTTGAAAGTCTGGTAATATTTTAGTCGTTTAGTGTATTATCCCTAGTTTTTCCTCAGTAGCCATTTACAAAGTTACAAATGTATAATGCCAAGTAGTGCTGGGCAGTACGACCAAAAATTTATATCACGGTATTTTTCAAAATTAGACCGGTTTCACGGTACATGACGGTATTTTTTTTCATGCATGACCGGGTGTTAACCATATTTTCTAATGATTGAGAGAGGAAATACTGCAGTATATTGACTTAGAATGCACTATTTTACTGTCATGATGAGTGAATATTGTCAAAAAAATACCACACTAAATAGTGACTAAACACGACTCCTTTTAATACATGTTAATCAGGAGTCACTCTCATTTATAATCGCGGCATTGTCTGATAAAATCAACATGCATCTACACTGATGCATATACAGACCTATGCGGTTGTTTTGGCTATATTACTTTTTTGTCTCATGCAGCGCACTGCCTGCGTCTGAGTAACAAACTAAAAAAAA